TCCATTTGCTAAGTAAGCTTAACTAAATGTGATGACAGATTTGATTCCCAATCCTCCAGAAACAATAGGTTTTTTGAGCTCCTCCGATTTGACAAGGTGGATTTTCCTTTTGTTGATCTCATCACCCCAAAGGAAGCGATTTTGAATTACTTCCAATTTTTTTACGATAATTTAAGGGATGCACAAAATGGAGAGAAAATAAATCGGAAGATTCAATAGAGTGTTTTTAATGAGTGTTAATCTACCTCCCTTTGAAAGAAAGTTTCTTTTCCACCCAGCAAGCTTATTCTCAACAGATTCTATAATTGGGTCCCAACTTCTCCGATCTTTGTAGCGAGCACCAAGAGACATCCCCAAATATTTGATGGGTAAATTGGCAGTTTTGCAGTTTAAGACCTAAGCCAGAGTCTGCCTGTTGCCTTCGTTGCCAATCTCCACAAGTTCGGATTTATGCAAGTTAATTTTGAGTCCAACAACAGCTTGAAAGCAAAGAAGAATACACCTTAAAGTGAGAAGGGAATTAACATCCGGTTAACAAAACATAAGGGTATCATCGGTAAAGAAAAGATGAGTGATTTCAATTTTTGAGCCAAAATTACCCACTTGGATACCCCTTAATAGATGTAGAGTTCTGGCTTTTTCTATGAGTTTGTTTAGTCCTTCCATGACAATTATGAATAATAATGGGGAGAGTGGGTCACTTTGTCTCAAACCCCTTGAAGCCTAAAAGAAATTGGAAGGACCACCATTAAACATAACAGCGAAACTAGTCGTGGAAATACAAGTGCGAATCCACCTACAACGTTTTTCACCAAAACCCATTTTGTTCAGCAAATAATCAATAAAATTACAATAAACATGATCAAAGGCTCTTTCCATATCTAATTTGCATAGAACCCCCTTTTTATTATTTCTGAAAAATATCATCCACCACCCCATTACCTGTAAGAATAGCATCAGTAATTTGTCTACCGGATATAAAAGCCAATGATCTTATGAAGGCAATTTGATAACCTCTTAGACAGAATGAGAGAAGCTTGTAAATACATCCTACTAGGCTTATTGGGCGAAAATCTTTGATGTTTTTAGCTCCTGATTTTTTGGGGATCATGACAATGAAAATGGAGTTCAAAGATCTAACCATGGAGCCATTTTTGAGAACCTCCTAGTAAAGTTGCAGAAATTTAAAATTGAAGCCATCCAGTCTGGGAGCTTTATCCTCATTACATTCCTTGAGGCAGCTATAAATTTTAGTCTGTAAACTCAGCTTCCAACTGCAGCTTGTCCAAAGTGTCTAAGTGAGCAAACTGCAGACCATTTAATTTAGGTATGCATTCTATCTCTTCCATATACAGCCTTTTGAAGTAAGACATGGCACAATCTCTCATATTATCATTGCCTTTAATACAGATCCCATCAACATCAATTTCCTCAACATAATTGATTCTTCTTCTATGGTTGGTCAAACAATGGAAATATTTGGTATTCCGGTCACCTTCTTTAAGCCACTTTTCTCTTGCTTTTTGCTTCCAAGATACTGCTTCCCTATGCATACAATTAGCCAAATTGATTTTGAGCAAATCTCTCTCATCTCTTTCCTCCGCTGTCAAACCGCCATGTCCCTCGATTCGGTCCAGTTCTCCAATTTCATTCAGATAATCCTTAATATCGTTATCCTCGTTAATTTCTGCAACCTTGGCCCATTCCTTTATGGAAGATTTGAGCGTCTTTAATTTCTTGGCCAAGATGAAGCTAGCCGTCCTCTTGCTAGGATAACGATTCCATTGTTCTGTCACCAGCTCTTTGATTTACTATCCTGATCCATTTGTTATGATCCTGAAAAGGGATTGGACCCCAGTGAATGCCGTCAGTAACTAAACAA